ACAGCCAGAGATGTTCTGCTTTACTGCCGGTGACGTTCGAGTACTGCAAACGTTAGCAGCCACAGTAAGCAAGAACGGGTTGAGTAAATACATTTCGGCAGAGAATCAAACTGCTGATGATGAGCATGGAGTTCCCAGCCAACAACGATATGTTAAGATTATAAACCAAGCAAATGAGCAGACTGAGCTCATCGGTCGACTCAAGCAGCATTATTCTAATTGGTATGGTTTTAATAGTCGTAAAATTTGCCATAATATGTACATTAACCAATCTAAAACAGTACTCTAGATTATGAAGAATTGGAAGACATTACGCATTTACTGAACTCGATAACCGTAAAATTTGAAGGAGCCTCCGGTGATAAAACTATCGCCTTTGTTTCTTGCCCAGTTTACCATAAAAAAAACAAGCGGAAGGAACTGAAGGTGGTTAAAGAACCTGCAAGGAGCTGGCCATTGTACAACATGTTGCGGCATTTTAATTCACATTTCCGGATAGCTGACATAACATCCAACCGAAAGCGAAATCAAGGAGACTATTCGGCTCATCTGAGCAAAAGGTACCGCAATAAAACAACAGCCGTAGATTCAGCTACTACCATTGAGCCAGTTAGTATCGAAACAACTACCGTTGCACCGGTAGAAATTGAAGAAATTGAATGGCTTAACAATGCATGTAGTGATAACGAATTTGAAGAAGAATCTATTGTTCAATCATTCATCGAAATAGGTATGGTTTAATAACAATAAAATTTAAACACATACAGGCATAAACAAAGTTTATTATTCTAGAAAGTGAACATTGTATCAACAATTGACCACTTTGTCAAGCAGTTTTGGCGTGACTTTCTACCAGCGATTTCACATAACTGGACCAAATAATTTCTATTTTTTTATGAAACGCACAAATGTTGGCTACTTTTCTCGAGGTTCTAGAAGAAAAAGTCTCAAAATAATGTTTTATTTCAAAGTTCGAGTGGTAGTAAACGTCATGTTAAGTGCTCGAATGAAGTGGTTAATTCCATTGATCAAAGCTCAAACGATACCGTTCTTTTCCGGGAAATAAGTTCTATGCATAATAGAATCAGTGGATCAAACCCACATGCTAGAAGGTATACCGAAATAGAAAAGGACATTATGGCGTTTGAATACCTCACAGCTGGTAATTCATACTACGAATATACTACTGGGTTGAAAAAGTATCTTGAAGACAACGATTATCCCTTGGTAGTGGCATTGTGTGAAGATGCTACAAGAATAACCGCAGCCACGGAATATGATTATTTGACGGATTCGATTAGAGGCTTGGTAGCACCATTTGATTCGGACGGGTTGCCTAAGCAACACTTGTTCAAAGCATCAACACCTCAAAAAATGATGGAGGATGTGAAAAGTTATGCTTTTGAAAACTACGCATACATTCAGTTCGCACTGCCGCTAGCTAACGAGGCAGCACCGTATGTATTATACCACGCATGCTCAGATAATAAATTCGGATACCACGATGTTTTGAATAGATGGAAGCGCACGGAAGATTTGCTACGCCAAGAAGGCATTAAAGTTGTCGCACACGCATCTGACGGTGATCCTCGCTTGTTAAAGGCTATGAAGCTACGGTGTGGATTAGATAAAGAAGCCACAGCATCGCCTTGGGGATGGTGGTTTCGGGTTGACCAGGTAGAAGGAATGCCAGTCAGTGTTGGCAAAATCAGAAATCAATTGATATTTTTCCGCTCTCATGCGCTCGCAATATTACGCGTGATATTGGAACAAAATATATTGATTTTACAAGCTCCTTTGATATTGCGACGCTGATTGTTTACAACACATTTTTGTCTTGTTACAATTAATATGTATTTCAGGACAGCTAATTTTATTGTACGTGCTTGGAGAAATTGGTTGAAGGATCATTACAATAATGTCAAGCTTTGTGTGTCAACCAATGCCTATCATTGTATGGAACTAAACGCCCATAGCCTTATTATGTTCATGCAAAATTGTCGAAACAGTGGGGCTTATTACGGATGTCACTTCACGGTGAAAACTTGTCACTTGTCGTCACGGTGAAGTGATTCCCATTTGATTTGTACGGCAATCACGGTGCTTATTCTGAGTATCACTTCCTTATCACCGTGTAGTGACACCCGTAATAAGGCCCAGTAATGCACCTGAGCAATTTGTTGTATCTTATTTATCAAGCCAACCGTGCGAAAAATTATTTCGACAGCTACGGTCAATGGGTACTACTCAACAAACGGTTATCAACTTTACTGCAAAAGAGCTGACGGAGAAATTAAAGAGAATTCACACTAAAATGCGAATAATGCATACTCGTAAATAATACATAAATTTTTCATCCATGAAACGACTACAAAATAAGCGAAGAGAGGCACACATTCTTCCTTCTGATGAGAGCATAATACAAACAATTGAAAAAGCTCAAAAAACAGCTCGTGTCGCCTTGTTACAAATAGGAATCAATGATGGAGATATAAATATGACTGATTCAATCAATTTCAAAATGAATGCACCAGGAGACATGTGGAAGCTGAAAATTTTAACATGGAAGATCATGAAGAACTTGGAACTGGAGGTGACAACATGGATAGGGAGGTTAATATTGGTGAAATAGAAGATGCATTCTTTAGTGAAACTGAAGATCAGAATGATCCGGAAGATAATGAGGATTATAATAACATAATTTATGATGCAGGAGAATTGATTCCTAATTGCAATGACTCTCTAAATTTGAAGAGCAGTTCAGTTGGAGGGAAATACTGTTTCCGAATTCGAGACTGCACTGGAACAGTAAAAGTTGTTAAGAAATCAACCTTTTTATGGTTGCTTACAACGGGCAAATATTCTTTTGTCAAATGATAGGACTCGACGTTTTGTCCAAACAGAATTTAAGTGATATATTTAACATGGTACCAATACTTATGTTGTTTCTTTTACTAACATATTTAAAAAGAAATGCAATACAATTATTTCAGTAACTTCTCATATGTATAACATATTCACATTTAACAGTATTGGAACTGCATTGGATTTTGAGCTCAACATCGACGATCGCCACCATCGATAACACGTCGAGTAACACGTAGCAACTACATTCACGCAGTTGACGACGCAGCATATACCTAACAAGAACAACGAAGAATCACCATCGTGGACCTCGGACCTGGACGACTCAGCAGAGCAGCAGTGGGTTTAATTGGAATTTCTGTGTAGGAACTTGTAGTGCGGTTCGATAGGTTCGAATTAAGCTAAAATTATTCAATAAATTCATTCTTTGTGTAACGTTAGAGCAGTGTAGTTCGCATTTATATTTTTTTATAAATCCAGAAACTAGGTGAAAACGTAATTTATACAAATACATAAATATAATAGAATACATTCCTGTATGTTATTCAAAAAGATCAGAATCCAGTGCCTTCCCATTTTTGGCAACATATGATTTTTGTCTATTATGCAATCTATAAATTCATAGAATGCTCTATTCGATTTATGATGTTACTCGACCATTATTTAGGGATTAGACGCTGGATATACAGAAAACACGGGCGAAAAATTGAGGCAATAAACAGATGATGACGACACTGTATTTAGTTGTTGGCCATGGCATGATTTTTAATGTTAACAAACTCCACGAAGCTGGCCAGAGCTGTCCTAATCTGGTCTGAAATTAGCAGTTATATAATATACCACAATCAACAGCGTTTAACTTGTGCAAAATATCGAATCTTGTGGATCACTACAACAAAACCTAACGATTATATCATTCCTGTTTATCGTTTTAAACTTGTATTGAAAACCAAATATGTTGTCAGACGATATTTTCTTTGATTAGAAAATCGAGACTACTTTGTTAATTTTTGAGTAAATGTGAGTAACTCAAATTTACTCGCTGCAAATATATTTACTCTGAGTACAGCTGTCTTGCCCCCAGGAACTATGTATTTATCAATACCAAACCATTTTTTAGCTTTTTATAAAATGACAACCTTCAAGTTTTCGAGCACTTCGTTCATCATTTAATAAGTCAAAGGGTCTATTATGCAATCCAATTCAACCAGTCGGAAACTGTTAAACCTTATCGAAGAATTGTTTGACCTGAGTTGAAGAATTTCTCGTGATGGATTAAAAAATCGGTGCATGGAACGTTGAACTACCGATTACAAATTTACAACATTATTCCACTCGTTATTATCCCAAATGGTCATTACCCCGAATCCCTTGCGAAAAGCTATTGATTATATATTTTCCTTATATAGGGGAAAAGTTGTCTTCGGCAATACCTTAACCTATTATCGTCAGGGGGGTAAACAAAGTCCTTGAGAGCTCAATTTTGATATGTGGATACAATGTGTTTCAAATTGATTCTTTTTCGGTCAGAAATAAATTTGATAAAATGCAGTGTTATTTGAAAATTTTCCATCTGTCGAATTCAGTTCACCAAATTATGATTTTGAGTTCAATTCCATCCGGAAAATAATATTTTTCTTGAATTCAGTATTAGTATGTTTGGCATAGACGGATTTCAGCAAAACAGGATAATAATGTCAGAGTATTTGCTGATAATTAGACAGATGTTCGAATTCCTGAAAGTGTCAGAAACATTATTTTACAGGATCTTTCGTCAAGTCCAAAATCAGCAAAATTTTGCTGACTTCTAGCGATTTAAATTTGGTGATAGAGATGTATAGATTGATGAGAATACGTAAATTCCCCTACAATCTAATTTAGTAAAATATTTTACAGGAATATACCGTTTGCTGAGCTTCTGAACACTCTAACACAATCTACCCTATTAATGCCGAAGGCATCTTCAATATCGGCTGATTTCACTTCCTACCCATAGTAATTTCTGTCGATCCGGGCTCGTTTTGAATTTCATTCATAACAACAACAAAACAGATCACAGTGTGCCCGGCCAAACAGCAAGAGTGTTTATATTTTTATTTTGAAGAACAGAAAAGTGTATCTGACAGCTGAAAAAGTAGCATCAGAAAAAAAGGAAGTCCTTCGCTCAGCAGCAGTAAGAAACAAAAAACCCTCTCAAAATGGATCTTCTGAATTCTATTCTCGGATCGATGGACAAACCACCGTCCAGGGATAAAAAGGAGAAAGAGCTGATTGAAAGTAAGTCGCTGTGAGGTACCTAATTATTGGTGTTTTCGGTTTTACTCACCCGCGAAATCGCGGTCTAATTTTAGAGCAAAAGAAGGAGCTGGAGCAGCACCGGAGCAAGGAACGGGACGAGTTAAATCGCTTCCGCAAGTACGCCGAAGAGCGCCTGGGCCGGTTGATCAAGGATCCCAATCGACCGTACATGGAATTTCAACCGTTGGATAAAGTTCACCGTTCCGTGGTGTAAGTTTGACGGTGTTGGATAAACTGCGCATGATGAAGTGTAATTGAATGTAGAGGAAATTTTCAGACATGATATTGCTGAAATTGGTGGACTGGCTGCCATGAGCTTCGGCGTTGAAGGCGTAGATAGGTACATTGTAGTCTATAAGAAAGAGCATCTACCTTCGGAAGAAGAGCTGGCAGTTCGACGGCACGGGGATCCTTGGAATAAGCAAACTGCTGAGGAATATGTCGTGAAGCGAAAGCATCAGAAGCTGCTCGATGAAGAGCGTCAGAAGAAGCCCTTGGACGAGAAGAAAGTCACTGCTCCGACAACTAACTATAAAAACAAGTACGTCCATCTGATTGGTCAGGATGCCGCTCTGGAAGCGGCGAAGAAGACCGAGACGAACAAAACCTACGGTTATGGTAGAACGCATTGTGTTCTGGAAGAAATGATAGGGAGATTAAAGGGCTTTCTTTTGCAGTTCCCAGCGAGAATAAGCGCGACATCCGCTCGATCGAGCAAACCATGGCCGACATCCAAGCGAAGAAGAAACTCAAAATCCAGCACGTGACGCTATGTGCGGAACCGGATGTCGACGGTGGCTCGTCCGGGCAGATTTAAGGGTTCATGTTGAAGCCAAAGAATTTCGTTTTAATCGACCTGCTGTACTGGACAGATGGACAGTTGAAATTTTAGCAAATAGCTTTATACTTTTGTGTAAGTAGTCTTTAGAACTTAGTTTTAGTTCAACGTCCACCGAAAAGAGAGATTAGGAATCGATTTTTAGATTGCAATCAGCTCAATTTTCACAATCACAGCATGTCCCGTCCCGGACATGAGTTAGCAATAAATTATCCTGAATTAGACTTATCAGAGTCGACTGACTCTCGTCGTCGTTCTTCCACGAGTTCAACGCGATTACCGTTGTAGGAATCACTTATTATTACTTAGAGAAAAATGAAGTGCAAACATACTTACTTAAATAAAAAAAAAAATATCTGTAGACTACCACATGAACACAGCTTTTTCGCGCAGTATCCGAAGTCCGTAGCGGGACCATTCGGCCTCGGTTAGCCACAGTTCGGTGGCACTTTCCAAACAGGACATGATGGCCGCTCCCTTCCAGGCGGTAATCTCCGCGTCGATGTCCTTCGAACTGGTCACGATGTTGTGCTCCGAGCGGTACATCAGCGGAATCTTGAGAGCCACCCGGTTCTGCAGCCAATTGCTAATACCGGTGAATTTCATACCGCCACCGACGACCAGAATGCAACCGTACATTTTCCGCTTCAGTTCGTCGTTAGCTGGAATGAAGATTATAGATATGTATGTGTTTAATTGCTAGCTAGCATTCCGTAAAAAGAAGTAAATACTTACGACACCGCTCAATACTCTGCAGCACCGCCTGATCGATTCCAATCATCTGTCCACCGGGCAGTATAAAGTCCTTCTCGTTCAGCTTTCCCTCCTTCTCCTGCTCCAGTCCTTCGACCACCATATCTTCGTCCTGATTTTCCGCATTCGCAATCCCGCTCTCGTTGGCCGTCTGTTCTAAGTTCTCCTTCCCCCGTCGACCGGTTTCGCGTAAATATTCTGCATCGAAACAATCCTCCGGATTTGGCTGAGCTCCGGACGGTTTCTGCGTTATGGGGACGGACTTGTTTGCTCCCGTTACGGATAGCAACTCCGTGTGGAACAACCCTAGCGGAGCAACGATTGCTTCGTCGCCGATTTGCAGGGTGAACTTACGCCTTTCCTGCTGAGGTTGATTCACTGTGAAAGTCTTTTCCTGCGCACCACAAACATCCAAGTTAACGTGGCAAAGATCTTCTTTAAGCTGCTTCAGCAGAAACGCATCCTGGGGACGACTTTGGTCGCATTCTTTGTACGGAAAGGTGCACTTTTGCAGCATCCAGAAAAAGGCTTGCGTTATATCAGCGCCTCCGTAAGCCAATCGTACCCTTGTGTTGGGATGGGAAATTCCATCTTCCACGCAGGAAACCGACGTCTTCTGATCTCCAACGTCTACGACGCAAGCATAGCCCAGACCTGCCCCGAACGTAGCTGACACATGATCCTGCACCAGGAAGCAACATCCGAAACCTATCTTGTTCAACAACAAAGTCGTCAGCTCTTTCAAATGTGCCCTATTGTAAATATCCGGAATTACCAAAACCGCCTTGTACTGTTTCAACTGTTTCAAATCGATTCGCAACCGATGTCTCAACACGTACTCCCAAATGTCTTGAAGGTCGCACATAACTCCGGACATGGATCCACCAATATTCTTGTGCAGATTCAACTCCCCCCGCTTAACCGGATAGTGTATATTAAATTCTCCACTGGGATTTAACCCCAGCACTTCCTCCCCAAATACCGTATCACCCGGTAGGTCATCTTTCCAATCAACTCTGGATCCTTGCACGACTTCCGGTGTCGATCGCCGGTTGAATGCGGATATCTGCTGTGGCGGAGTCGCATATCTTCTTCGACCATCCGATTGAACACATGATTGCAACGTATGCGATACCTAGAAATAGAAAAACAATTTTCAAAACATATAAACTACCACCCCGGTACGGTTCAACACTAACCTGTAACCGGCACTCATCGAATTCCGACAACGGTTCCTTCGGTTTTGCAACTGGTGTCGGGAGAATTACGTCCCGATAGACTTGACCATCAGGCTTGCGCCGGCGGCCAATGGCGTGCAGTATTCGACAGGGATTCACATCCGAAGCTCGACCTATCCGCAGGTACAGCGACCCCGGATGAATGACGATGATGTTTTGGGCTTGGAGGTGCTGATTATTTCAAGGAAGTATGTTCGGTAAATTTAAAGTTTTTCAATAGGAACATTCTTACCTCCGGTGTTTCTTTATTGTTAGACATTATTTTCAAGAAGCTTACTTTATAGTGCAGAAATAATAGGAGAAACTATTTTTGAAATAGCATACCACCACTTTCCTTTGATTTCATTTTAAACCCAAAAACAAAACAAATGTGTGTAATGTTAGCCCTTAAAATGCTACACAGAAAAATAAAACTAACCAAAGTTTTAGTGTTTCAAACCCAAATTTTAGTTTAGCGACCTCTTTCCGTTTCATTCCCTCTCACTATGCACACAGCAAAAAAAAAAAATACAAAAAAATAATATCGATCGTCGTAATTCGAATGGATCAAATGGATCGAGCTAAAATTTTACCCGTCAAAAATAAATTTGGGGCTGTTCATAAACTACGTAGGCAGTTTAGGGGAGTTGACAATTATCCACGGCCCATACAAATTTACGTAGTTAATGAACAGCCCCTTATTGTGTTCAAAAATCCCTCTGGTTTTGATCGTCCGATTATCAAAAATGTGTTTGTTAAATTTTATTCATGTCAGAAAAAAATAGTGCATTTTTTTGTTGCATGAAATGTAACGTGTAATGTGTATCCTAGCCACGAACACACATACTAAATGTATGAGTTGGTTCGTGTCTAATCTATTCCAGGCAAAATATTTTTATCTAGATAAAAAAATTCTATGGTTTTGACAGATGGGATCGCTGCACATTTGAATCCGCCGTTATGGATTCTCGATCAAGAGTTAAGTTTTAGTTTCAACAATTTCAACAATAACATTTCTAACCAAAGCACACTACTGACATCTGGCTCCGTGTTCGCCGGGAATATTTGGCTTTGCCATGAACCCGCATGCAAAAGTTATGAATTGGTTCGTGTCTGATCTATTATGGACAAATTATTTTTATCTAGATCAAAAACTCCCATGGTTTTGACAGTTCGGATCACTGCATATTTAAATCGGCCGCTTACGATTTTCGGGCATGAGTTAGAATTAAGTGTCATGTCGGTTTGTCGGTGGTATTAGCAACAATCAATATTTTTTTTTTTTTTTCCTTTGGTTTGTTTTTTCCGTCGATCTTGTTTTCCGTGCTGAGCACCAATGCTACCGACGTGCCAGGAAGGCAGCTCCCACACCTGGACCCTACCTATCGACCCATCAACTCATGAACTGGGGGACCAACGGCTTTACTTCCCATCCGAAGGAAGGCGTGATCAGAGATGTTATGCCTCAGAACATCCCGGCGGCGCCGACTGGGATTGAACCCAGGCCTTCTGGGGTGAGAGGTAATCACGCTTACCACTACACCACCGGCGCCGTTAGCAACAATCAATATGAAACTATGGATTTAAATGGGCTCACTACTTGACTAGCCTATTATTGGTCCCAAGCACATCGATTAACGTACGCCATTGTAGTGAAAATTCTAGTACTACACAATGTTTGTTTTGATTCGCTATGAAAATTTGATAGAGAAAATGAGGGGTTTGTGGATTTTCCTATGTTTCAAGGGGTGCATCGAATAGCTTGGGACCGAAGATAGTACCAGAGCTAAGCCAAAAAGTTGAACACGTTTCTTCGGGACCTACTCTGCCCATAATCGCAAGTCAGTCCGATCTGTAAGAAACTGGAAATGAGAAAACGGCGTTCAAAGATTTTTCAAGTTTTCTGATTTGACACTTATTTTGAAGGGATAAATTTAAAAATTAACATACAATGTGATAGAATGTATCTATGTTTACCCAAAAATATTGGAAAAACATCGTGAAATTTTTATATTACGGCCAAAATCTGAGTGGGACTGACTTGCGATTACACTTAACGTCAATGAGAAAAAAAAAACTGCAAGTAAGTCACAATCCATGGTCCCATAGAACGTTATTGAATGTTTCTGGATTTATTCCGCTGGTTCCAGAGCAATGGCCGAAACATATTCCGGTGAGTATGGGTCTTCATCAGACCAGAGATTTTCATAAACGTGCCAAACCCACCATGCGATACATCAATTCACATGAGCATTCAAAAATAAGATCAATAAGAGTCATGATGAGTGACCAGAACCAAGTTGGCCACACCCGGAAATGTTCCGGGTATCCCCGAGGAAGTGATACATCCATTTTAAATCAAAATCCATCAAGCCAATCACATGAGAATTCAAAGCCATATAAATTGGCGGTCAAACTGAGTTTCGTATAAGAACTACATTGGCCGCATCCAGACATGTTCTAGATACCCTAGGGGAAGTGGTCATAATCTGTCTTGACACAAATCTCATGATGCGATGTGTTGTCTAACATTTCTAACATATTTTTTTTCTAATGGGACTGACTTGCGGTTACTTTTCGCTGTGGGACAATTTGACTTGGTATTGTTTTTCATTTTTCTAGAACAAACCATATTTGTTCAATAGTACATCTCAAAAAACATAGAAAGATAAACTGAATAATGATGCTAACTCAAAATTGATAAAAATGCAGATGGTACTGACTTGCGTTTACCGGCAGAACTAATCTTATGGCGGTAAGCTCCAACTTGGATTAACTTTTAATACCGTCCCTGTTTGGATGATCTGTGAATTGTTTGCATAGCATCGTGCTGAATAACTCTGATGTCGACATCAATGCAGGTGGACATTCTTGATCGGAATTTAATCCGAGGATAATACCGATTGGAGCTTACAGCCATTAGAGTTACCTCTATGGTGTTAGCACCGACAAACCGACATGAAACTGAAACTTAACTCTTGATCGAGAATCTATAACGGCCGATTCAAATGTGCAGCGATCCCATCGATATCTGTCCATAGAAATGTTTTATCTAGATAAAAATAATTTGTCCAAAATAGATTACGCAACTACGTGGCTAGGATAAATATTTTCCGCGAACACGGCGGCAGATGACAGTTTTGTGCTTTGATCAGAAATTTATTTGTAATTTGTATAATCATTCATGTCGGTTTGTCGGTGGTATTAGCATGTGTGGACGAGCTACCAGTTACGCCAAATCAACGATCAAATGCATTGTTTTTAAAAGCTGATACGTCCCTTCGAAAAAGTACTCGAGATTTTATTCGATATAATCGCGCTCAAATCTTTAAAATTATTCTCGAAATTAATAATATCGTTTTTTATCGATCACAGAATTTTTTTTTAATTTCAACATATTCAACAATATTCTGTATTAAATTCAATAAAATAAATGTTGTCTCCCAGCTAACGATAAATATTGCTTAAACCAATATTTTGTTTTATTGAATTCAATGAAAATAATGTTTGCTTCTATAATATAGATACCCTAATAAAAAAATACCATACCCGAACGATAAACCAAATTAAAGAACAATTCCAAAAAATGGTTTGGATGATACCACAGAACAGAAGGGGAAGTGCAAACAAATCGGTGAATCAAAAAGTGGTTCGTTTTTCTGCTCAACAAGCGATGTGTGTGGTAGCGTTCTACACGGGATTTCTATGTTCACTCACACTATCAAAGCATGCTGCCTATCTTAACTGCAGGCAGACGATGCCTTCTACCTCTAGGTGTGCTAGTGTTCGCAAATGACAAATGGAGCCTTTTTCTGATCCGAAGTTCCACTCCTGTGATGATACCTTGAACACGTCGTTAAGCAAAATAACCATACGCATATTATATTAGGGTATCTCATGGACCAAAACATATTTTCTTTGAAATGGCGAAACAACAATTTTTATTTGTTGAAACAAAAATATTTGTTTACCGAGTAATCAGCAATGTTTTCTTTTAATGGCCAAAAAATCTTTGAAATAACATGTTTTATTTTTTTAATAAAAAAAAAAATGTTGAATTAACCATTTTTCGAGAATTTTAGTGTAAATTCTCCAAATGGAACACAGTTTTCTCAGTTTTGAGTAACTTCAAACAAGAGTGTCTGTCGAAATAGCGGATGTTGATTCTGTCAAAAGTGGAAGCGTCGCGTCTACCATACGTCAAACCGTAAACGTCAACCGCACGCCATCTTGGTCTCTTTCTATCTCTTTTTCCGGTTGCACATACTAGTGAAGGTACGACTTTAACATTTAAGGAGGAATATTTTTCGAAAAATTCGCTGTAAAACTTCGCAAATAAGGTATCAATTTGTACTTTCGAAGGCCCATCACTGCAAACTGTTGACGAAATATGAAACCGTCCTGATTGTGCTGTGTTTTCGAGAGAAAATCGGTGAAACTTTGGCTTGTCCGCGAGGTTAGGTGTCGGAAGACGATTGTACACAAAAACTAATCGGATCGTTTTGTCTGCGTTTTGTGCTCTTTCCAGATGCCAGGAATTACCGTGAAGGACGTCGATCAGGACAAAGTTGTCCAGGGCGTTGCCCTCTTCTTGAAGAAGTGAGTAGTTAAGTGATTTTAGTGGATACATTCAATAACAACAAATCGATGATTTCTCGTAGGTCCGGTAAGCTGAAGGTCCCCGATTACATCGACCTGATCAAGACCGCCAAGTTCAAGGAGCTGGCTCCCTCCGACCAGGACTGGTTCTACGTACGCTGTGCCTCGATCCTGCGTCGTCTGTACCACCAGAGCCCGTCGGGTGTTGGTTCCATCTGCCGTGTCTACGGTGGTCGCCAGCGCAACGGTGTCCGCCCATCGCATTTCTGCCGCGCTGATGGCAGTGCCACCCGCAAGGCCGTGCAGGCTCTGGAACAGATTAAGCTGATCGAGAAGCACCCCGAGGGAGGCCGCAAGCTGACCAGCCAAGGCCAGCGGGATTTGGATCGTATTGCGGCCCAGATCGTGAGCAAACAGCGAGCTGCCCTGAAGAAGGAAGCCGCTGCTCTCGTGCTGGCGTAAGGATTCCGGGGCGAAACAGTTTTTTTTCGAGGATGTAAGCATACTAAGTTAATATAACAACAAATTCCCACAACAATATGCGGTGTGCATGTGAATTGTGATTGATTTAATCGGAAAAGAAACGCCGGCTGAATTGTTTTTTTTTTTAACGTTAGTAGTGTCTTGACAAACTGTAATGTTCGTTGGCTGATGGAAGTTTGCTCTTGGGGCTTATTGTGATAATGGACATCAGGGTGTAGATCAGTGAAAGAGAAATGATCATGATTAAGGCTGGATTTCAACAGTA